AAAAAAAAATCTCTTTCTTTCAACAGATTGTAGTTAACACATCTACCTTTCAGAAAGAAACGATTGCTTTGTAAGCGTTATATAAAAGTGTTAAAGTGAGGTGTAATCTATTCTGACTTGACAGAGAAAATCATAACTGCCCACACTGGAATCATACTAATACACTAAATTAAGGATGAAATACAGGGTGATCAGCGAATAAGCCCTGATTTCAAAATTAAATATCTCTACAACAAAGATCGATAGAATTATGCGGTAAACTGTACGTTCATTAGCAAAACTGTAAAAATGGTGTACAAAAGTTTAGAAAATTTTAGTTACGAAAATCGTTAACAGATGGCGCTCTGCGCTGAAAACTCTTTCTCTGAAAGGAGTCAAAAAAAAAAACCCAATAATAAAGTGGAAGCCTTTGCAATCAAAATACAATTTTTTCAAAATGTTCACCTTTCGAAACAATGAGGTGGCATAAACGAACGGAATGAAATTTGACATCACATGTCTTGCAATGTCTCAACGGAAAGTGGAATCACATGCAACACCAATCAACGATTCAAGCTCATCTAGAGTAGCGGGATTGTTTTCGATAGACAGTGTCTTTCAATGCCCCAATGTGCCCCACAGAAAGAAGTCACAAGGACTCAGATCGGGAGAATATGGAGGCCAAGCTATTCCTGTGTCAGTAAATTGCGGATAATCTAACGCAATTACTCTATTTCCAAAGTATTCATGAAGAAAGCGTAAAACTTTGTTCGATGTGGAACAAAGTTTTGTTCGATGTGGTCGAGCCCCATCTTGCAGGAACAAAGTCGATACCTGGTCGATCCTCCAGCGCTAGTTGAGTGCTTGACAAATTGTTCCAAAATTGTAACGTAAAGTTCAGTAAATATCATTTCTCGTACGAAAAAGGGATCCGGATAATGCCTCTGGCGCATACCGTAGCCCATGCAGTAACTTTAGGCGAATGCAGTGCTTTCTCTTCACACAAATGAGGATTTTCGGTACCCGAAAATCCTCCAGTTTTGTGTTTATTAAAACGATTCCATTCAAATGAAAATGTGCCTCACCTGTGAACCAGATGCAGCTCACATCAAATCTGTGGTTGTCGACCATTGTTAGAATCTGATTCGCAAAGCCAAACCTTTATTGCACAGCTTTCATGGGTATGGCCTGATGACTTTGGATTTTGTATGGAAACAGCTGTAGGCTATTTTTTAATTATTTTTTGCGTGCTTGTGTACTTCAAACCTGTCTATGATGCCATCCGTCGGATGCTTTTCCTAGGATTTTGCTGAACAATTCCAGAAACTTTGGCTGGATTTTTAGGAGTGACTACAGTTTGCCTAGGCCCAACATTTCCCTTTCGATCATCAGCCACGCTGCCAGTCCGTTCAAATTTTGCAAAGAGCATGCGAATGGCTTTCGCATCGGGGCGAATTGGAACATTGAATCGGGGCCAATTGAACATTGAGCCTTCTTTTACTAGCCAACAGTCGTACTGATCAATTTTGAATTCAAAGCACATTTTTAAAGGCTATTGATAGGTCATTGTGATTAGAGCGCCATCTGTTAACGATTTTCGTAACTAAATTTTCTAAACTTTTGTACACCATTTTTACAGTTTTGCTAACAAACATGCAGTTACCGCATAATTCTATCGATCTTTGTCGTAGAGATATTTAATTTTGAAATCAGGGCTTATTCGCTGATCACCCTGTAGTTTAGCTCATGGCTTTTGGTAGTTTGGGGGAGAAACAAAATGCAGTCAAACCTCGATATTGAGTCCATCTTTGTGCTAAACAAAAATATGACGCATCAGTCGAAGTGAGCCTAGATTTAAATGATTGTTTTTTTAGATTTTTCTCCTTATATTAATATTTGATCCAAAGAAATATTTTATATTACATATCATTCTTATTTTAACTAAAAATATCTATTGATTTGACTTCAGCTACAAAAATTTATTACTTTCAGACAAATTAATTCCTTTCAGAAGGTTTCTGGGTATTGTAACGCTTTGATTGTCTGAATACTGGATTCATAACGTTTCAAATTCATTAGAATAAGTTCATAATTTTAATCCTTCCAATTTTCACTTAACTATTTAATTTTAGCAGCAAGAATGGTGTTTAAAGAGTTCCTTAGTACGCATGTGCCTTAGAAAAAGCTTCCTTTGTAAACGACGGTTAATCGTATGCATTAGTTATCACTTATATTTACTGTGAATGCAATTAATTTTTATCTCAGAAATAACTGTTTTGATCTTTCACGTAGAAACCTTTCTGTAGGGAATTAAATTAAGCATAAATGCTTGAAAAAGTGTAACTGAATCAATTCTTCCTTATCAGATTACAAAGTAAAGAGATAGGAAAAGAATCCTGTTAAAATCTTTCTTAAACTTTTAAAGTTTTCAACTCTAGATATTTCTAGACTTAACAAGATCCCATTAGTTATAAAAAATTATTAAAAAAATTTGATAATTAATTAAAAAATTTGAATAATTAATTAGTTGTTTATATAAACCTAAATCAAGTATAAGGAAGAAATCTATAAAATAAGAGAAAAATACTCTTAAAATTACTTAATATATTTTAATAATCAATAACATATTTAAAAAATATATAAATGTTTTATTTGCAGTACAAAAAAATGAAACGAAAGGGCATAAGAAACTTCGAAAAACGACTTGATTTCATTCATCGAAAATATGAATTTTTAGAGTTACATATGGTATATTTGAAAGACATGGAAAGAGAATATTTGGAAGTCTTCTCTTTATCCCTGAAACATGAAACATTTTGAAGAATTCTCAGAGCATGTTCTGAAGATAAGGAGTTTTAGGTTTGGGTAATGTCATGCAACTTTCTAATCAAACTAAACAAATAAACTTAAAAAACTGAATGATTTGAATGCAAAGGAAAATAACAATAAAATAAAACTACAAGCTCAAAATAATGTAATAAGTTTTCTTATTTAAATAATGAGTGGAGGAAACGGAATATAAAAAAATAACCGAGATATTTTAGATCTTAGAAAAAGGTGTTATAGTAAGCGAAGTGACATGTTGTCTAGGTGACAGTGATTGCTTTAACATTATATAGCACGATACAGCAAAATACTAATAAGAAATTATATTGTGGATGAAAACTAAATGAGAAAATTTCACGTATTTTTGTCTATTTCTTATAAAATATTTCTCACATATTAAAATATAAATGAAATTACTTGTATCTCTCTATTATCGTCTATTTACTAGTACATTTTCGCTTGATATGAAAAATTTATAATGTGTTTATTACAGAAGTTCAGCAAGTTGAAAAATGAAAAAACATACTTTTGTCTCGAGAGAATGTAGAATTTTCTTTCAGATTCATATCGCTTTGTTAAACAATTTTTAAGCTGTGAAATACAGAACTAATTTGATAAAACAGAATTACAGATTTAAAAGCTTAGGCAAATACAGTGCTGTAAAGCATATAATTTTTTCAAAATATTTTGTTACACATGTCACAAATTTCTTCTTTTTAAATCGCTATTCTTTAAAATGTTAAAAGATTTACATTATTTATTAACGTTTTCAACATATATCTACTTATCCGAATTATCTTTTAAAATTCAGATCGCTAGATAACATCGTTAAAATAGTCATATACATCAACAGAAAGAAATACACCAACTCTCTTTAGAACATCAGGCAATTTTTACAATTTCTGAATTAAATAAATACCTTAATTATAACTAAAAGAAATTAAATTATGACATGATTAATATTTTGATTAATAAAAACTTATTTGTATTATACAGTGGTAAACCTCTTCATAATTTCATCTCAAAAACAGGAACATTTCACTAAATATTTCTATTTCAGCAACATAATGGTTTCTTAAACTACTTTGGGAATATTAAGTAACATCTAAGACGTATATTTCTGTGATTATTTTCAATAAGCACAGTTTTTGAATACTATACCCAGATTTTCGATATAGTCAAATTTTTAGGGCCATAATATTAATTTACACAAAAAATTACTTTTGAGACCAATCATAATGTTACTTTTTAACTTACTTTAACTAAAATTTTCAGACAGGCAAGCAGCTATCGAAACGCTATCGGGCTTTATAAAAATCGATATAACATAGACACACAACTGCGTTCACTCTGGTAAAATTTGTATATACATAGAGCAATCTGTAAATTATGGAATTTCAATATGCACATGATTTAAATATATTACATTTCAAAACTTGGTATAATTTTCAACACACACGTTTTTTTCAAACAATGATCAGCTGAAGGAATTTTAGAGTTTATTTCCAAAAAGAAAAATTGAGAATAAACGCAGTTATGTAAAACATAGCAGTTTCTTTTGAATATCTAACTAATGTTTACAATGTAAAAGATATTGACATATTTACAAAAAATGCTCTCTATTCTTCATTTTCGATAATTTTTGTTCCAGAATTTACTTTTGATCAGTACTTATACCCAGTATTTAAAACTTTCTAAAGAATGTTTTTAAGAAAAGATGAAATTTTATAAATCTTTGTATCACATAAAATGTTTATTGTTATTACTTAAAAAATTAGTATCGTTATTTATCTTATTGTAAAATATTTTTAGTTTCATAAAACGTTACAGCTGCCATCTGAATTTAAAATTTCATCAACTCTATTTTTTGCCTATTATGCTTGCTTAATTTTTTTTATATCTTGTCCTAAAATTAAAAAAAGTGTTTTCTTCTGCTATTTATAGTTTTATAGTAAATTCTTTTGACCTATTTATTATTTATTAAAAAAATCTTCCAGCGATGCATATCGTTCTATATACATAAAAAGTACTTCAAAAGTTAAACATCATTCAGTTCAGTACTCGAGAGATGAAATTGTTCATTTACACCTAAATTAGTGCATTATACTACGAGCTATCAAAAGTATTAAACACACGATGATAGCACCATAAATATTTCGCAATTTGAAGCAATAAAGGACAAGAATAATGCCAACTTTACTTAAGTAGCTTCATTTTATTACAAAGATGTAACATGTAGTAAATGTATAAGATTCTTACATATTTCTTATACGCTAATATTTCTTCTTTATACATTATATTATTATCTAACAATTTCTAAAGATTTTACTGTCCTTTTTCTGATGTTAAATAGATCTTACTTCTATAATGATGTTATATGTTTTTGTGATGTTATTTTATTTTAAGATGTTAAATAAATTTTATTCATACACATGACATTAGTATTATGATATAATCCTATTTTATGATTTTGAACAGACTTTCCTTCTATTCATAATGTTAAATGTTTTTGTGATGTTATTCTATTTTATGATGCTTAATAAATCTTACTTCTAATTATGATATTAAATAGTTCTCTATATACTATTTTTAATATTTTTTTATTTCATGATATATAGTTCCGTTCGCATTCTTTCGTTAATCTTATTTTCGTTAGCATTATCTAACCTTAGATTTATAGTCATCAAAATTAACTAATATTTTCCTGTAATGCTAATAAACTACCTCTCAATAAAAATAATCAGTCAGACTTTATTTTTTAAGTGATAAATTATATCTTTTTTCAAACAATCTCATACAAACGAAGAATTAAGCTCTTTTTTTTTTTTTTCCTTTTTTCGGATAAGATTGGTTCAAGTGTCTGGGCATTCTTCCAGACATAATTTGCTCGTATGCTAACTGATTTTACAAATCTAAAGTATATAGATTAAGTGCTCATGTTCTGTTTTCGCTACATCTTTCACTCAGTACCTCTCAGCAAGTGAGGTTTTGGGTGCTCACGTTCAACATTCACTCGGTTACAGCTCCTTTATTACAGCTCCTTTAAACACTATCTTCATTTAAATGAAGTGCTGACTCGTATACCCTATTCAGATCTTTAGACGAAATGAGTCTTATGTTGCTATCACACTGAAAAATTTTTGGTGGAACATCTTTTTTCTTATAATTTTTACGCTTTATTGCTGGATGTAAAGAACTTGTATGAAATTCTTATAGATAATTTATTAAAGAAATCGCTGTAATTTTATCTTTATACGCATGTAAATTTCATTTATTGGAATTCATTCAAATTATTTACTAAATAAGTTATACTAATTCTTATTTTAAGCAGCTGTTCAATATTCAACTCGGCAAAACATAAAAGTCTGGAATTTATGGTATATATATAGTCAAAAAATTAAGAATGCTATTAAACTTAAATCAGTAATCAACAATTTAATTTACCATGTCAGTTGCTGGATATATTACAGACTTACACACAGAAAGGCAAATGTTTCAGCAATCCTTTTTATGCGATTTGCATATGCACGTTTTTGATATTATGTCCTTTTATAACGGTTATTAAGAACACAAATTTTTCAAGCTTTATGTTTTCATTCATTTCATTTTTAATCTCTTTTGTTCTTTTCTTTTCTTATTATATAAATTTTAAGAATTTTTTTAGTGTTTTTTATGGATTGTACATGCAGGCTTAATGTATATCCATCATTCTTCCTCATCAAAATACATTTTTAGAAGAAATTTGGCATTAAAACTCATAAAGCATATATTTGAATTTAAATTTCTTTCGTTTAATTTCGTTACCTGCTACATAAATTTGAATATTACATTAAATCGGCTTTCTCAAAACAAAATTTTATATCAAAGATAAAATATCAAAGCTTTCTGGAAAAGAAGCAGCGAAGTTTAAGAAAAATTGCTTTTAAAACCGCAAGGAAATGGATTCAAAAAAATATTGCGCGTTGGAGCACATTTTTTGTATTGGTGTTAATACATTACTGTCGTTAATCAATGATTCGACAGAAAAAGTGCAGAAGTATATATTTACAGTAACTGATATTTCGGTAAAAACTTATAAAGTTATTTTGTGTGCCATAACAATTGTTACATCTAAAATTAATTTTAGGTCAACAAAAACACTGGTGTTCTACGTTGCATACTTTGATTATTAAATAGTAAAATGTGCATTCAGTCTAACTAAAATTTGAGGATTTCTACATACTTTTCTAGTAAATGTTTGAGCAACTATAAGAAACTGATCGCCTTAAATGCAAAATGAATAAGTATACCAGCAAAATCAGTTTCCAGTGTAACTTCAGGTACTTATTAGTATTCATATCGTTAGAGAATCATTCATTGTTGAACTTATCATTAAAAAATTTGAAATGAATTCCTTTATGGTTGAAATTCGGTAACATGCTTTAAATTTTGTTGATGATTATTGATTTTTATGACATTAAAAATTTCAAGAAAGATATAAAGATTAAATTATGGTATGAAGTGTGATAAGATGTAGTTTTATCAGTTTTGAACAAAAGTGGAAAGCTAGATCGGTTGATTTCATTTTTTAAAGTTTATACATATAACTAACATACATATATTAATTCTTTTACGAAGCAAGCACAGTAGTTCACGTTAACATTTTAATAAATGCAATAAAGTGTGATAAATTGTCATTCATAGTACAGTTTCGTTGAAAGTAGGAAAAGAAATGCGACTGCTTTCAGCACTGTGCCACCTTACCAACAATAACCGGCAACCACATCGGTGACTTCTTATTGAGATCGATGACCAACCCTCTCTTTAGAGGTGCAAAAGATTGCCAGCAACATCTTTGGCAATAAGCTTGATCCACAGAACAGGGATGCTCATATATCGAAAGAAAAAAGCGACGACATCTTTTGATCAGAACATTTTTTTCCAATCTTGAACAAATATCGCCAAGAACGCCGCCAACTCTGATCCTTACGCAGCCAAGAAATATTACATAAATGATCGAAAATAATGAGAACAATGACGTGTTTAGCTATTATGTATCAAACATGTGGCGATAATCTACGACCTTTGCATGCCACGGAAAAGTTCCATGGGCAACGGAAAAACTATGGTGGAATTCTTTTCCGCCGCAATGGAATTCAGGGTCTGTAAGTAACGTAGTTGAAGAGCAGATGGTGAATCTGCGATGACTTCAGCAGCTTCCTTCAAGGCTCGGGAAGCTCTCTGCTCGCCTTCCGCTGCAATAACCTAAGCATAAAAATAATGAAACTTCAGGTTATAAGCAATATATGAATTCCTAATTAAAGACATTTTTATATGGTCATATTTTACAAAAAAGACATCTCACGAGAATTCGTCTCTTTGTTTTATTAGAAATTTACTCAAACCTAGCATTCCATATGTTTAGCATTAAAAGGAATTTCATAAGAACTTTATCAAAATAATCCTCCTTTTAATAGAGGTATTCAATCCATGCTGCCCCTCGAAAAAACAGGCCTATTTATGGTATAATTAACTGTATAGTAGTAAATGTCGTTCTTCCAGCTACACACTAGTAGTCTTCCTTAACCAAAGCTTTCAAGTGAATGCACAAGTGAAAATTGTGTAAAGTATGGATTCGTGGCTGCCACGTGGCCCACTAGCGGCCGAGCGGTAAAATCGCTGAACACTGGTAGTTCTGATCTAGGTTTGAATTCAGGCGAACGGTCTGGCTGCATAAGCGTTTTAATAGATTTCCCTATGTGTGGCGTGTATATGAGGCAGCCTCCCTTAGATAGCCCTCCATGAAAGCATATCTCAGGCAGATAGCCCTAGTATGCTTTGCCATAGTAAACTAAACCTAAACTTAAACCCTTGAGTTGCTTTGCCTTAATCAATTAATCTAACAATTCATTGTTGAACTAATTAACCGTGGTTACCACGCAATAATCTATGGAATAAATATCTAATATTCTGGAAACTATCATCATGATTCAGTGACCTTCTTCATGCTAGAATTGTGAGATTTTCCGTAACATGAGTTGGATCAAAAGACTTCTGAAAAATTCATTAAAATGAACGAGTTAAATGTTTAGTTCATTAAAATGTACATGGATGTGGTTTGCACTGAAATTCATGCTATAAATTAAGTTTTTTTTTCCCAAGGACAGAAAAGAACCAAAAGTTTCCTGACACTTGGCGCTTATTTCGGGAAACATAAATATGCAAATAAATCCTCTAACAAATTTCAATTATTTATATTCACAGATATTAATGATATATTACTGCAAGTAATTTTTGGTTGAAGCACTGGTAATGAAATCTTTTTATCTGAGCTAGGAATAGCTGCATCAAATTTACGAGAATCAAACTCGGAAACAAACAAAAACATGCAGAGGCCAAACGACTCAGACAACGTTAACGTGTGATATTTTTAGAAAACCTAGCATCTGATCAATCCAACGCACAATGGCAGACCGTCGTTGACAATATCTGTGCTAGTCATGTGATCACATAGATGAAGACTAGCTGCACAGTCAAAGAGCGATGTATTCCGAGATTTGATTAACCACAAATTTGTAAAATTAATTCATTCTTTATGATGGAAGTGGAAAAGTAATTATAACTATATTATTATTTATTGAACAGCAAAGAGTAGTGTGATAAATAGGTGTGTATTTTAATACCGACGTTTAAAAAAGTATTTAAAACTTTATATAGGCGCGTTAGGGAAACTGAATAAATTTCAAACATGCTGAAATATTATGCACGCGAATTCTGTTCTTGTAACTCCAGAAAAATCGTGAGACCATAACGAATTAAAATTTTTTGAAGTACAACATTAACTGTAGAATCCACAGTGATCAAGACCCTTTTAATAAAAATTTAGTTTATCCCATTGAAAAAATTTTTAAAGAAGAGAAAATTGGGATATAAATATTTTTCACCTTTGCTCTGGCTTCTCTTGCAGCTTCAGCTTCCGCAGCCATAGCCCTTTGTAACTGCACAGGTAATCTCACATCCTTACTGAAAAGCAAAATACAACGAAATGAGAAAATATTATATAAGCATACAGAGAAAAACAGAAATGCTCAATCAATGGTAAAATAGGTGACTAAGCGAATATTGTAATTAATTTCATACACACCGTGATCCCCAAACTTCTTATCTCTCTTTATTTTCGCATTCATTAATCGTAAACATATACTTATAGCATTTTAAATGATATAAAGATACATATTTTCGTAATTTGATAATTAAAAAAAGAAAAAGTAATTTTGTATAAAATTGGGAACTTAATTTTTTGTGCGTTCCTTCAAGTCTCTATCTGTATATTTAGGAAAATATTACACTAATTATAAAAAATTTAATAAGATATTTGATTCAAAATTGACGATTTTGTCGTCATTTTCAATTCTCCTTGAAAGGTAGGTTAATAAATAAATTAAAATAATTCGAGATTGATTTTTTCCCCTTAAATGCAATTTAATGATATTCTTTTGTGATTTACAAGTATGTAATGTCCTTTAGTTTACAATTTTGTTACAACAGGTATACCCAAAGAATTTTCACACAAACAACTTATAAGCTTTGACACATTATAAATACGTCATTAATATTCTCATAGAGTTTTATTACTTTAGAGTTCTAATCTGAAAACCATAAAAAATATTAAACTAAAAAAATGTGCAGTTTTTAATTTATACGAGGTTGGGAGTTGGCAGCATGAAATATTGAAGCCTGCTGGTGTTTTCTAGAACAAGAATGCTGTTAAATTCAGTGAATAAGATCTCTTGTTTGAAATAAATTATATCAATAATAATTTTCACGATAACCCACATAGAAAATACTCGTCACTTAATCTGTTAATATTAGAAAGCTTTTCCTAAATTGACATTTTATTTTTTGTTACGTATAAATGCAAACATTTTGCTCTTCAACTGGCGTACGAATATGATGCCCTACGACTAATATTCAAACGGCTCCTGAATATGATGCCCAACTTTTAAACTAAATAGCCTGATAAATTTTTGTTATATGAGTCCCACTTTTTATATTGTGATTTTATAATGAACGAAACATTTCCCTAAACATAAGTATAGGATTTGGAAGAACGCATAAAATGTTAAATTTCAAAATTTTCTAAAATTTATTATTATTATTATTATTATTTCCCAGAGGAAATGTAAAAGTGCGTTATATGAACATATGTACGAAATGTGAAAAGATAATGCATATTGGTATATTATAATATTCTAACAGTACTCTTACACTGAGTGCAAAAGTATGAGAAGAATCGTAAATGCTCTTCCTATCCGAACTGTCATCCCAGCCTTGGCCACGGTTGGCAATTAGTTAATATCCTTGGCTGATAGACACTCAAAGGCTGTGAGAGTCGAATGTAAGGCAGGCTGCCAGTGACTTCGTATTAATGTACTTATGTACAAATTTCTGTACATTTGGGAATTTGTTTACTAAATAAAAATATACCCTTAGGATGGCTTAATCCATTTGAATAATATAAAGACAACTTTGTCGGAATTCGAACCCCTGAGAGAACTACCAGTGTTTAGCGACTTACCGCTCGGCCGCTGGTAGACCCTATAAGGAGCACTGTCGGAATGAAATGAATATTTCGTATTTTTATTCACAATTTCATAGTTGTTATTTACTTATTATTATTTCTATATTTTCATACTGCAAATAAACATGCAGACTCTTTTATCAGGTATTACATTTTAAATTACTTCAGTTTCTATTCTACATATTTAACACAGTACGAAAAATAACCCATCTATGATAAATTTTAAATTAAACAACATTTTTAAAGCTTTATTTATACTTTTGACCACTATATAAAAGGAAATATTGTGCATTGGGGCAATACTTTTATACATTGCAAATAATATAATATGAGCAATAAAAAATATTACATTTCCACGCGCTCGACTTTGACACCCCAAGGATCAGTTGCTTCATCTAAACTAGACTAAAAAAGAAATAGCTTCAATTAGTGTCAATTGTCAAATAAAAAAATTTAAAATTTAATACATTTATTTTGTCTCTCATCTATTGAATCATAATAACAATTCTTAAAGGCGTTTTAGATAACGCCTTTTTACTCATATGGAATATTAGTTCCTCTTCTTTCAATAATTATAGTCCATGATTTGCCAAATGATAAGAAGTTGCATGTCATTAAAAGTCTACTACATATATTCAAATATGACAACATCTTTAGATAAAGTGATACTGTGGTGATGCTAATTATTGAATTAAATAAGAATACTATACATGACACGTTTCAAAAATTACAAACTAATGCATACAATAATTTAAAATTTATACATTTTTTACACCATAGTTGAAAAGAATTATATATTTTTATTAAATAAAAAGATTACATAAAGTACAATTTTTAAGAATGGTTTTATGTTTTATATTTATGATACATCAGCTAAAAAATAAGATTACATAAATAAATTAACAGTAAACTTAAATTTATACAGTCTCATATAAAGAAGTTATGCAGATAATCAGAATGCTGGACAGTCGGAATTTTATTGTACATATATTTACGATACATTCTTCAGACTACCGCCTTTATGTTAGCAAAAATATTAGCAATGTACTGCATTTCGTTCTTTATCACATCTCGTTAAAACATATGAACGCTACCTGAGAATGCCATGCAATTAATTTTTTTTTTTCAGTTGTATATTCAGTGTTTAGTTTAAATAGAGGTTCCTTTCACCTGCATAATATGACTTATGGATTCCCTCTCTGACAGAATTTCTGAAAGATTCTTTGTTCCAAGGACATTCCTTAAGGTGGTAGCTGCAAGTAGGCGCGTCGAATGTCCATAATCCTCAACATTAGATACTGCAATAGTGGCATTGCTGATGCGGTAGTATACTACTGCGTCCACTGCAACCGTAACGGAATCTTTTGACAAAATCTGAAACGATACAAAAGAAAAAAAACCTAATCAGCATTTTTATTTTTAAAAATGTAATTTCAGTAATTGCATTTAAATCTACTACTTTCAAGCAATGAGTATTTAATTCCCTTTCAAAAACTCTCATGTGAGTCCATCTCAACATACTGAACATGTAACTTTCTCATTCAAAATGACCAATGAATACAGCCTCGTTGAATAGTCAAGCTGGAGCGCAGATTTCGCAAGAGAGTGGTCGCCGTGAAGAGAACTAAGAAAGCACCAGTTGTTGAGGGTATGCTAACAGTAAGTCCGGTTCTATTGTGCATAACTCTGCAGTGTAGATTACAGTCAGTGAACATGTACAGTTGTAGTCGGCTCAGGCAAACTCGAAGAGTTTCGCAAAAATGGGTACCCGCGTGAAGTCGCTATCCCGGCGTAATGCTTCGACTTTCGAATTTTTGTAGTTTCGAACAGTTTATGAAACATATCGAAGCAAATAAAAGTTCAGAGCAGGGATAAAAACTGGGAGAGTACGTAACAGAGTCCAATGGAAACACCCCTGCAGTGCAGGCTGTGACGAAGGTAAGTGCGCATGATAAAGCAAATGGTATGGAGAGAAAACAAAAAATGCCTAAAGCTCACTGAATATGTCAGTGTATAGTTAACGTAGTAATAGTAATTAGCATAAAATAATATTAAATATAAAGCATAGTGGGAAGTAAAAGTGAAATATATACAATATATACAGGTCAGATATTTACAGCAACACCAAAAAACAAAAACAATCAGTATAAGTAAGTGTGCAGATATATTGAGATTGTGACAGTTGGGTGGATACAAAAGTTAACAAGATAGTTACTGTTCGAGGTACCTGAGGACCGCAAGCGGTCGTTTTCTGTTTCTTTCAGTATTGTAGTCATAGTTAAGCACTGGAATAGTGCTGTTGTTGACATTAGGTATATTATTGTAGAATTTTTCAGAAAGGAGAGCAAAGTGAGCATAATCGTTGGAATCTAATTTAGTGAGCATAATCGTTGGAAATAATTTCTGATGAACCATCGACAGTTCGCGCTTGTCGAAGTATTATATTTTGTAGTGTTTGAATCTTCTTAACATTAGTTATACTAGCATATTCTCAAACAGGACAGGCGTAAGAGAGTATGGGACGCAAAAGGGTCTTGTAAATGAGCAATTTGTTATCTATAGAGAGAACTGAATTCCGGCCAATTAAGGGGGTAAGTGTTCGTTTACGGGCACGGAATTTGGCAATAATCTGTGTAATGTGGGGGGTCCAGGTGAGTCGCCTATCCAAAGTAATCCAAGGTATCGGGCATACTTAGTCCACTGAATAGGGGTGTCATACATATGAATACGGTCTTCATTGTCGATGGCAGTCCTTTTGGTGAACCAGATGGCCTCAGATTTTTCAACGTTGATCTTGACTTTCCAGGCGTTAAGCCAGGACTCAAGTGTGGGGATGTGTGTTTGGAGTGCTTGTATAACCGGGCCAGGAGATGCATTTTTTGAGAGGATTGCCTTGTCATCGGCGTACATTGCCAGGGTGGTGTGTGGTGATTGTGGGATATCGTTTGTGTAGATATTATAGTAAATGGGCCCAAGGAGGCTCCCTTTCGGGACGCCAGCCTTGATAGCCCGTGGGGTAGAGTGTGTGTTGTTTACACGAACGATAAAGTGTCTATCCTTAAGATAGGAGTAGGTGATGGCTGTGATGTACTCTGGGAAACCCAAGGTGATGATTTTGTACATAAGACCCTGAAGCCAAACCCGATCAAAGGCTTTAGCTACATCGAAGAAGATGGCACCTGTAGTTTATCGGTCCTAGAGTCCTTGCGATATCCTCTCAATGACTCTGTAGAGCTGGTGGACAGTTTAGTGCTTCTTACGAAACCCATGCTGCTGTGGGACGATAATGTTGTTTAGCTCAGTATAGGCAAGGGTTCTCTGTAGAATAATGTATTCAGCTACCTTGCTGAGCGAAGATAGGTGGCTGATGGGTCTGTAAGAAGCTGGCTCTGTAGGTGGATTTTTTACGTTCATAAAACGTTCGAGCTGCGAGCAACTCGAATCCACCATTTCTTAGCGCACACCTTGGAAATGCGCTGGGAGCCGTTGTCTAGGCGGCTCCCTCTTAAATTAAATCTCCCAGTTGTAGTCAGCCACCGATGAGTTTGTTGATGCCATTAACTTCCCCTTCAGTCATTCAGAGCCTGCTTACTGTGTCACAATTTTCAGATGTAGAAATCTGTGAAATGTGTCTCCTCTGTGTGTCGTTTGATAGGATATAATACAAATAAATTATTCCCTTCAGTATTCCATGAGAAATAATTCATAGTGAAATTAAACTTTTTTTATGCTATCATACAGATGTTTCACAACTTTTGAGGAGAAAAATGTTAGATAAATAAAGATACCATCATTTGAAACTGTTTTTAAAGTATAACCCAAAATACAAAGTACTACGTTTATATACTTTCTCATTTATAGACATAATGCTGTCGATTTGTTTTATCTGAAAATCATTAACAAATTACAGAATATAATTATTCTTATCTTCTGACACATGAGCCAATATATTCCTCTCTCCCAAACACACATCAACTGCCACTTGTTTTTCGCCTGGCGTCTTTTATGCGTATTCCATTTCGGCTCGCTGTGAGAATATGTATGAGCAAAATACAAATCTTTTGAAATTTTAGGTGAAATTGGTAAATACTGCAGTTCATTCTGATCACTGCTTACATACGGATTTAAGCCTCGTTTCCACATTTAAGGTCCGTGTGGTTATCCAAGGAGCGATCGAATTCACTTTCATTGACATTTGTGATGAGGCGGAAGAAGACGGACAGGCGGAGAGGTCCAGGGTTCGAGTCCCGGCGAAAGTACTGCCCCTTTTTCACAGCTCCTGCTTCAGAAAAATATAAGGACTCTACAAATGGCGCCCCACCACCAGGATTTTGCGATTGGGTCCCCTAATCCCCAGTCGCCTTTTAAAGGGGGGGAGTATATAAAGTATGTTTCCCCTCGTTCCAGCATGCCTTCGCGGTATGACGGTAGCACACTGAGCGCGTATTCCAGAGGTTCAGGTTCGAATCCCGGAGAGAGCATTGCATATTTTTTTTACAACTGCTGCTTTAAAAAAAATTAATGACGCTACAATTTATTTAAATTTGCTCTATAAGAATTTATTAATTTTTTGAGAAGCAATATTTAAAACACCTAAAAAAAAAAAAAAAAAAAAAAAAAAGCTAAAAACAATATTATATGCATTATGCATAAAATAAAACTATGCACATGGGGCATTTTAAAACAAAAATGAACTTTTAATAGTTTGAGGTTAAAGAAATTCGTCCATAAATTTTACGTCACGTATTCTTCTCTTTACCTCCAAATTACGACATATTTTTCAGGTTTTAAGAAATTGATGCTAAAATTTTATGATAGATATTATCTTTATAATCTCAAAATTAAGCATATTTTAAAACAGTTTTGCGTGATAATCAGTCACATATATTGAAAAACATAATAAACATTGTTAAACTATTGTGAGTCTTTCGTTACAGTTGCTCCATATTATTAAAGATCAGCATTTATAAACTACTTTCGTGATTAACTTGTTTGATTTACATTAGTAGTATACATAAGTTTCAGTCATATATTATTCACAGCATTAAAGGTACTAGAAAAAAATAGAAATTTTTTTAAATGACTCCATAAATAAAATTCTAAGTGATTATAGAGGTTCATAATGCGCATCATAAATTTACTAATCTATAAAGTGCTTTGCTATTACTTACACAATTCACAGCCAAGATAAAAATTTATAAAAGTCGAATTCACATGTCTCAGAAATGTCCCGTCACTCAGTAGAACACCTGGTGGCAATAAATGCAAATAATCTCAGATGAAGACCCACCGCAATACTGCACATCACCATGCATCTACGTTTTGAAGGCTGATCTCCCAACGACGCATAACATGTGGCCTGTACATTGTAGTCAAGAAATACATTGTAGAAGCAAATCACATTTGTAGCTACGAAACATGCTAAAATCTTGTCATATTATCAGATCATATTTCTGAATGATTAGATTACCTTCGTGAAAGCAACTGAAGTTAGTTAAGAACAAGAAACTGAAGATAAAAAGACAGAAACACGTAACAGAACAATTTGTACAATCGTAAACAAGCAAAAAATTGAAGTAAGACTCTTCATACCTACAGCAGAGCCTTAGAACATTGCTAGTTTCACAACTAAGAGTTACTACTTGTTTCACAACTTGACTCTGACTAAAAGTAAGAGGAACTGAACTGACTATTGAGCTGTGAATCGAATCCAAGACGAAACTATTAGTGTTTGAGTTACTGCTTAGCTACTGAGGTACGTCAGTAAAACCGTGTGCTTTCTACAATGCAGATGCAAATAAATGTGTCAGAGGTGCATCAATCAGGACTAATAAAAATCCTAATTAGAACTCAGGGGTATCAGGATTAATAATATTCTTAAAAATTAACCAAACCTCACATTATGGACTTACGGATTATTCTATCAGATAGAAAGAACAGTTGCATTCAGTGAGCTTTGATTTAAATTATAATCTTCACTTAAGGCAAACATGATGCACTGGCTATTGTTTCCTTTGCTGTTAGATTAAATGGATTGTAAGGATTATGTTAATTTTATTAACAGTTAAATTTTAAAACAGTTAAATTTAGTTTTTAAAAGTTCCTTTCCTGTCAAATTCTTAACTTCAACTTACTACTTCCGGCCAGAACGTAGTTTTAGAATCACGTCTGAATACATAATGACGAAGAGCGGTATTTAACCGCGAAGTTCTTTGGTCTTAGTAAGAGAGAATTAGAGTTTCTGATTTACGCGCGTCTGCCTTTTGGCCTCTCTCTCTCAGCTGTTATTAAACTCGGCCGTACTCAGGCCCTTGATAGCTTCGCAGTCATCTGGTGTTTAAGGGGCCAATTGCATTAGAAACTTGATAACTTTG